AGGCGAGCCCAGACCAAATCAAGGCCATCCTAGAGCTACAGAGCCCAACGTCGGCGAAACAAGTTCAGATGCTTATTGGAAGGGCTGCAGCCCTAAACAGATTCATCAGCAGAAGCTCAAATAAATGCAGACCCTTCTTCAACTTGGTGAAAAAAGCCACAGACTTTCTGTGGACAGAAGAATACGAAGCCGCTCTAACCGACCTAAAGAAGTACTTTACCACAACTCCGGTTCTTTCCAATCCAGAACCAGGGGAAGAACTGTTTTTGTACTTGGCAGTGTCAGAACACGCAGTAAGTGCAGTACTAATCCGAGAAGAAAAAGGGGAGCAAAAGGCGGTTTACTATGTAAGCAAAACCTTGGCCAGCGCAGAAACAAGGTATCTACCACTGGAGAAATTAATGCTGGCCTTAGTAATGGCTTCAAAGAAATTAAACCATTATTTTCAGGTGCACATGATTGTGGTCCTAACAGAGCACCCACTGAAGTCCTTGTTGCAACAAGGAGACTTAACAGGAAGGATAGCAAGATGGGCAGTGGCCCTGGGCCAATATGACCTGGAGTTCAGGCCGAGAACAACAATAAAGGGCCAAGTTTTGGCCGACTTCGTGGCAGAATTCACACCCGAAACCATCGAACATCGGGCTCCGTTAAGCCGAGATGAGCAGTATCCCAGCAAGCAAGGAGAAGCCCAACCAAAGGCAAAAGAGCAAAGGAAGGAAAAACTCAGACCCTGCAGCATCTACATCGGCGATTCATTCAGACTGTTCGTCGATGGAAGTTCAAACCATCAAGGAGCGGGGGCAGGAGTACTGCTGATATCTCCAGATGGAGAAATAATAGAACAGTCCATCCGTTTGGGGTTCAAGGCCTCAAACAACGAAGCGGAGTACGAAGCATTAATTGTAGGGCTAAAACTGGCAGCAGCAGTAGAAGCAGATGAGGTAATTATTTTTTGTGATTCACAACTTATTGTTAACCAATCAATAGGAGAATTTGCAGTCAAGGACGGAAGGATGTCGGCATATGCAAAAGAGGTCATCAGATTGGCAGCCCTATTTCAGAACTGCCGACTACTGCAAGTCAGCCGAGATGACAGCACCCACACCGACGTGTTGGCTTACCTGGCAAGTTCAATACAGACTGGAAAAACAAGAACAATTATGATCGACTACATGTCGGGCCGCAAGTTAGCCGAGATGACAACACCCACGCCGACGCATTGGCTAACCTGGCAAGTTCAATACAGACGGGAAAAACAAGGACAATTATGATCGACTATATGTCAGGCCCGAGCATAGAACCACAGAGCACAGAGCAGCAAGCAATGTGTGTGGACATGGGGCCAAGCTGGATGGATACAATTGTTGCATTCCTAAAAGAAGGAAAGCTGCCAGAAGATCGTAAGGAGGCACACAAAACAGAAGATGGACATCTCTATAGAAGGTCCTTCACTGGACCACTTTTAAAGTGCGTACACCCTTTGCAGGTTGAGGATTTCCTCTATGAAATTCATGAAGGAATTTGTGAAAGCCATGCCGGGGGCAGATCACTAGCCCACAGGGCCATTACCCAGGGGTATTGGTGGCCCTACATGCAAAAGGATGCTGAAGCCTACATGAAGAAGTGTGAACAATGCCAAAGGTTTGCACCTTTAATACATCAGCCAGCCGCTGACCTGAACCCAGTATCCAACCCTTGGCCGTTTGCCCAATGGGGCATGGATCTTGTCGGGCAACTTCCCCAGGCAACTGGGCAGAGAAAGTACCTGCTGGTGGCAACAGACTACTTTACCAAATGGATAGAGGCAGAACCTCTTGCCAAAATCCGAGATGTGGACGTCAAGAACTTTATATGGAAAAACATCATCACCAGATTTGGGATTCCAAGAGCAATAGTTGCCGACAAAGGAACACAATTTGACAGTAAGCTAATCAAGAGCTTTTGTGCAAAATTCAAAATCAAGAATTATTTTTCAACCCCAAGCTTTCCTTAAAGCAATGGACAAGCAGAAGCATCCAACAAAGTCATCTTGGATGGGATTTTTTCAACACCAAGTTTTCCCCAAAGTAATGGTCAAGCAGAAGCATCCAACAAAGTAATTTTGGATGGAATAAAGAAGAGGCTGCAGGCGGCAAAAGGAAAGTGGGTTGACGAATTGCCCAATGTACTTTGGGCATATCGGACTACACCGAGAAGATCAACAGGAGAATCCCCCTTTGCCATGGCTTATGGCACAAAAACAGTCATCCCATTAGAAATCGGCATCCTAGGGATCAGGACCCAAGGAGTAGAGAATGGCACCAATGACATACTCTTAGCCCGAGATCTGGATCTTCTGGAAGAACGAAGAAAAAAAGCTGCAATTCAACTAGCAGTATACCAGCAACGGCTTGCTAGAACTTACAACAAAAAGGTCAATCCAAGAGATTTTCAAGTCGGCGACCTAGTCCTAAGAAAAGTCGTCGGCAACAAAAAGGATCCCAGAGAGGGCAAGCTTGGCCCAAACTGGGAAGGACCCTATAGAATTACTTCGGTATTAGGCAATGGAGCTTATCGATTTGAAGATAACGAGGGCAAAACACTGCCAAGACCTTGGAACACTTGTAATTTGAAATTCTTCTATCATTAGATGTGCAGTATTTTTTGCCGATGTCTTTAATAAAGTTTTTTCAAAGAATTCTTTCAACACATATGACTGATAAAATTACATACTGATGTTTTTGGAGAGATGAATAATGGGAACCCCGGTAGAACTCAGGTTCACATTGGGGGCAGGAAAAAGAAGAATGCGTTTACCACTTGTTGAAATTTGTAGCAATTTACAAGTTGGAGTCAAGCTTATTCCTTGTCTTCACTTGTTGAAATTTGTAGCAATTTACAAGTTGGAGTTAAGCTGATTCTTTATCCTCGCTTGTTGAAATTTGTAGCAATTTACAAGTTGAAGATAAGCCGAGATTACTATTTCACTTCACTTGTTGAAATTTGCAGCAATTTACAAGTCAAAGTGAAGCCGAGGTTATAGTTTGTAAACTTATAAATCAACAGGTTGATCCAACCAAAGAAGATGCTTAACTCTTGTTGAAATTTGTAGCAATTTACAAGATAATGTTAAGTCAACATGTGATCCTCCGTCGAAATTTACAGCAATTTACAGGTTGAAGTAAAAGCTAAGTATATTGTTCAAACAACTTGTTGAAATTTACAGCAATTTACAAGTAGACCATTATTTAACACTTGTTATAACTTGAGAACAGTTTACAGTATATGTTAACACTTGTTGAAATTTGTAGCAATTTATAAGTAGGTTAGACCGAAATCACTGTTTACGTACTTGTTGAAACTTGAGAAGAAACTTACAGAATTAACATTGAATTGTATATGTTAAACACTTGTTGGAATTTATCAAAAGTTTTTCAGGTCTGAATCTTGCCGAAATAAAGTTTGATGTTATTATACCCGAGGTATGTAACCCCGAGGAGATTGCACAAAGGTGGCAAAATACAGAAGGCATACAACCATGCAGAAGCAAATCAAAAAGAAATTAAAAGATTGAAGCATCCATAAAAAAAACAATTACAATTATATATAAAGGAAGGCACATCGGCCATAAAAGGAAGTTTACATTGTTCAGAAAACAAAACAGAGTACATAAGGCAAGGAAATAAAGACATTTAAATCAGGATTCTTCAGCATTAACAGCTGGAGGCGCTGGGACCTCGGAAGATTCTGGTGGAACCTCTTCGGCAATCTTTTCTGCTTCAATCTCGGCGTCAATCTCTGCGAGCATTTCATCAAGATTTTTTTTGACTAGAGGAACGTCGGATGATGCTTGTTCAGGAGTTGCCTCCTTAATAACCTCCTCATCCTATTCATGAGTCAGGTCTAGGATTTGATCATCTTGAGGAAGAGATTGGATCTCATCGGCGTGCTTGGGCTTCCTTACTAGAGCATCACCGTCATCCTTATCCTCATCTTCGGCATCAGACTCAGACTCAGATTTTTCTTCAGCCTGACTTGGAGGTGAAAGAGGAGGAAATGGGAGAGGAATAGCTTTAGCCTTGCGCAACGGCGAGTCATCTGGGATGTTGAGTTTTTTGGCAAGGGCCATCCAACCAAGGGAAAAGCCCCTGTTGCATGCCTGCTTAACTTGAAGTTTGTAATCCTCAGTGACATCGGCCATTCCTTGGGCGTAAGCTTTTTCATCGGCTTCAGTAATTTCGGCATTTTTAGTGGCCAGGGCCTGCTCGAGCTCTTTTTCGGCTTGAGCCTTTTTTACCTCGGCATCTTTTTTCTCGGCCTCGGCAACTTTTTTATGGCTTCAGCAGACTCCGCTTTTTCTTCAGCCATCTGTTGGGCCTTAGTGGCAGCCTCGGCCTGATCTTCCAGCTTCTTCATCTTCGTCAGAATAGCTTTGTTCTCCTTTTTGAGGGCAGAAACCTCCCTCTTCATATCAACCACTCTTTGCCGATTTTCAAAAGATTGCATTGAAAATGAATGAGGGTGCTGAATGGCCTAAAAGAAGACAGAAGTGTTAGAAAATCTTCTAAATGTGCAACAAAAAGAAAGGACAAAACAGGAAACACTTACTTGAATGGAGTGCTGGAGCATTAACGCATAATTCTCATACTCGCTGCACCCAGCATTTCACTCCAGATCGTTTGGAAGAAGAAGAGCAGTACTGAGGGCGACACCGACATTAATGTCGTCGGCACTCTCAGTCGACATAATTGGCCTATCCTCCAAAGTCAACTTTGGGGCCCAGGGGACATCGGGTTTCTTGGACCCCGAAGTAGTAGATGAGGCAGACCTCGGCTTCTTTGATTGGGTGGACTCAGAGGGCTGGGTCTCGGCAGACCTTTTTGAAGGAGCAGAAGAAGTCTTCTTACTCTCAGCCAGTTTTGAGATAGGCAAAGTATCCTCAACCTCAACTTCAGTAGCCTTGGCCTTAGGCTGGGCCTTCTTGATTCTTCTTGGCTTCGGTGGGGGCATTGGTTGGGTTGGTGCAGCATCAGCATCAGTCGGAAGGTCGGCTAAGAGATTTTGGGCAATTGGCTTTGCGCGACCTATTTCGGCAGTTTTGACAAGGCGTCGCTGACGTTTTCTTTCTGGTATTGGGATCAAGTATGGGGCTGAAGTAGGCAGCAGATCGACTGGGTCAAAAGTGGATCCTTCGTCTGCTCGTGATGTGGAAGCAATGGAAGGAGTTGTGGCAGAAGGAGGAGACAGACTCTTTTTCTTCCTTTTTGGGACGTCGGGTAGTGTGGATTTGTATGTCGGGATAAAATTCAGTAGCAGGGGAGCCTTGCGCTTGTGGATTGGAAGTTCAAGGAGCTTCCTTAAATCTTTTCCTGGGAAGTACGATTGGCGAAAGTTTTTTGGTGGTTGATGAAGATCTGCAGGACAAACAAACAGTCATTAGAAACAGACAAAGTTTTGAAGACTTGAAAAAGAAATAACTAAGTATTGATGCTGGACTCTTACCCTTGCCCTCTTTAACTGTTCGAGGAAGAGGGTAGAGGTGAACATCTTCGTCTGGACCGAATTCCCAATTTCCCGAAGCAATGACAAAGTCATCTCCGACTCCCTTGTTGGAGTCCGGGAGGTCAGCTACAATTTTGAATTCAGTAGACCTCGGCTTAAGGTAGTAGACGTAACCTCTTTCCTTCAGGTTAAGGGGGCACATGGTATAACAGTATTGTACATCGGCAAGGGTAATCCTAACATTTTCCTGCCTAGTTAGGGCTATGATACCATTAATCACTCGATAGGAGTTGATGGTAAGTTGGATGGGGTTCAACTTATAGAAGTGAAGAATCTCACGAAAAAAGGGGATTGAGTGGAAGCCGGAGTCCGCACTCAGTAAAAGCTACTATAGGAAAGGGCATTGAATTATCCGTGGGCATGATAGAGTCATTATCTTCAGCCAGTCTCAGGAGGACATCGGCAGGAATGGAGAATTCTTGCCTAAAGAATTCAAGTTTAGTTGGGGTGTTCACCCGGTGTCTCCACATACCCATTACGTCGGCCTGAACAAAGAAGGTTGTTTCAGAAGATAGGTATTTCAGAAGGGTTGCTGGAACCTCGGTTTCAAAACCTGGGTAAGGACTGGTAAGGTTTGTTTTAGTTTTTCCTAAAGATTGAAGGTTCTACAGGCAAATCCCAAACCTAAAACTATAAAGACGAAGATCGAGGGCACAGATCTGGTAAAGACACAAGACACAGAGAACAAAAGCGAAGTTTCAGAAACAAGAACAGGGATGGGCTATCAAGAACACGAAGAATACAAAGGGTTAAGGGCCAAGAACAATAGTGAAACAGTGCAAGTGTTCATGGCATGTGAAAAAATCATGAAATAAGATGCATTCAGGTGAATGATTCACAAATAACGCTTAAACAGAACAGTAATAGCAAGAAACTTCAGAAACAATCAAGAATTAGAAAAAGAGGGTAAGGGGACCAGTTGCTTACCGGATAAAATGAAGCCGGAGCGATATTCGCCGAGACCAGACGACAGTTGTAACAGTAGCGAAAGCTTCGCAGGAATTGAAGAGTAAGGACGGTCACAGAATTTGGGGCTTAGAGCAATGGCAGATTCGAAGAATGCTAGAGCTTTTAGAGAGAGAGAAAGCAAGAAATTAGAATGCAAAAAGTGAAGAAAGGAAAAGGGAAAGAAAAGTTTTATCAAAAACTTGAAACGGCGGCAAAGGCAGGGCATTTATTACACCTGGAGCAACTCACGCGTCAGACGGCGCAGACGAGTGAAAGATAG